GATACGGTCGCGGAGCGACGAGCCGTACTTGGCCTGGTACGCCTGCTTGACCTGCGGCAAAAAGTGCTGGTAGCGGACAAGCGCCGTCGAGAGACCGTACTCGTCGGTGCCGATGCCCTTCATCGTCTTTTCAAACTGGACCGCGATCGTCTCGATCGGGTGAAGGATCATGCCGACGTGGTAGAGGAGCGCTTCCTTGGCCTTGCCGCCAAACTCCTTTTCGATCGCACGCTCGAGCGTATGGCCGTGCTTGGCCACGTACGCGGCATTGACGGCCGGCATGAACTGCGGCGGGATCGAGCAGATCGCGTTGCAGAACGTCGCCTCGTCCGTGCCCCACTTGCCCTCACCGGCCTTGTAAATGACCTCGGCCACCTCGACGGCCTTGGCCTGCGTGTGGATCTCGGGGTTGAACGTCTGCTGCATCTGGTTGACGACCGAGAGGTAGAACTTCTTGAGGTCACCGCCGAGATCGTCAGCAAGGACGACGACCATGTCGTTCTGGTAGTTCTTGAAGAAGGCCTTCTTGAGGATGTTGAGTTCTTCGTTGGAGCGGCCCGAGAGCACGGGGATGAGCAGCTTCTCGGACGTGCCGGCGCCCTTGGTAGCTTCGCGGATGATCTGGGCCTCGGCCTCTTCGATGGGCTGGGCGAGGAGCTGGAGGAGCTTGCCGTAGTCGCCGGACGTCTCGCCCTTGAGCTCGGCGAGGAGCGTCGTCTTGTGGAGCTCCGGGTAGCGAAGCGCGATGAGGTGGCGCTGGACGGCCGACTTGGTGCCGATGACCTGCGTGAGCTTGTTCTCGTCCGTGCCGATGCCAGCGCAGGCCGACTTGATCTCGTGGCACCAGTTGTCGATCTGGAGGTCGGCGTGGTTGAGCGCGCGGCCGGCGTCGAGCTCGTACGTCGTCTGAGGGTAGAGGTTCATCTTGCTTGGAGGGTGCAAATGGCAGAATGAACTTGGTTTAGTCAGTCCGCCGACTGAAGTGTTTAGTCAGTCGCCCGCCTGACGCGAGAGAAGAATCCGTGGGCGGCAGAGCCCATCCCCTTCGTTCGTCGTGCCACATTTTTGAACATTTTTGAGTTTGGGATTGTCAATTTATTTTATTTCTTGATGGTCAATACAAAAGGCAAGTGACGTTTATCAAGTGCAGCGTGCTGGTGGATTGTTGAGCTGCAAGCAGATGGCACTGAATCTCAAGGTGTCGCCACCAGCGATAACGCGCGTTCATGGGAAAAGACTATGGAGCAGATCTGCTGTGTACCCACGTCCCAGGACAACTGACGTCGCAGCTGCTCTCCGCAATCTTCGCGAGTAGCTGCGTCGAGTTGTCGGAGAAGACCAGCTCTGGTCCCGTAGCTACACTTGCTCATTCTGCCATTTGCACCCTCCAAGCAAGATGAACCTCTACCCTCAGACGACGTACGAGATCGACGCCGGCCGCGCGCTCAACCACGCCGACCTCCAGATCGACAACTGGTGCCACGAGATCAAGTCGGCCTGCGCTGGCATCGGCACGGACGAGAACAAGCTCACGCAGGTCATCGGCACCAAGTCGGCCGTCCAGCGCCACCTCATCGCGCTCCGCTACCCGGAGCTCCACAAGACGACGCTCCTCGCCGAGCTCAAGGGCGAGACGTCCGGCGACTACGGCAAGCTCCTCCAGCTCCTCGCCCAGCCCATCGAAGAGGCCGAGGCCCAGATCATCCGCGAAGCCACCAAGGGCGCCGGCACGTCCGAGAAGCTCCTCATCCCCGTGCTCTCGGGCCGCTCCAACGAAGAACTCAACATCCTCAAGAAGGCCTTCTTCAAGAACTACCAGAACGACATGGTCGTCGTCCTCGCCGACGATCTCGGCGGTGACCTCAAGAAGTTCTACCTCTCGGTCGTCAACCAGATGCAGCAGACGTTCAACCCCGAGATCCACACGCAGGCCAAGGCCGTCGAGGTGGCCGAGATCATTTACAAGGCCGGTGAGGGCAAGTGGGGCACGGACGAGGCGACGTTCTGCAACGCGATCTGCTCGATCCCGCCGCAGTTCATGCCGGCCGTCAACGCCGCGTACGTGGCCAAGCAAGGCCACACGCTCGAGCGTGCGATCGAAAAGGAGTTTGGCGGCAAGGCCAAGGAAGCGCTCCTCTACCACGTCGGCATGATCCTTCACCCGATCGAGACGATCGCGGTCCAGTTTGAAAAGACGATGAAGGGCATCGGCACCGACGAGTACGGTCTCTCGACGGCGCTTGTCCGCTACCAGCACTTTTTGCCGCAGGTCAAGCAGGCGTACCAGGCCAAGTACGGCTCGTCGCTCCGCGACCGTATCCACGGCGAGACGTCGGGCGACTACCGCGCGCTGCTTCTCACGATCCTCGAGCAGTCCAACTAAGTTGAATGGAATCTTATTTTTTGTCTTATTGTTCTGGTGGCGCTGCTGTCGGGAGAGGAAGGGCGCATCAAACGCCTTGGGTCTATCTCGATACTGTACCTGGGCAGGCTGACGGAGAGCTAAGAACTGAGTGCCTGGCGACCGGAAAGGCCGACATTGCCGTTTCACTTTGCACCGGTGCGCGACACAAGATGGTGTCGTCACCGTGGCGAGACACGTACGTGGCCGCCCGGCGTCTATCGTCGTGCGTCGCGGCGTTGGTGATGCTCTACATCGAAGTCACGGGCTCGATGGCGACGAAAGCCGCCTTGTACGGCGCCACAGCACCCGCCGAGCTCAGCAACGTATACTACAGTCCTCTCATTGGTCCATTCTTGCGTCTCGTGGCCTCCAACGCGAGTTATTTGGCAGCGGTGGCACCGACCTCGCGCCTTGACGTGCTCTATATCGATCAAAATGAGTCGTTAGAGAACTTGGCCGTCTCGGCAACGTCCTGCGGGACGTACCGTGAGACCGACGCCATGTACACTCGAAGCTTCTTGACGCCGCTCCTGCACGAGCTCCTCGATGCGCAGCGGTCGTGGCACGCGATCGACCTGCGCGACCACGTTGTCGTCGTCGACTGCGCCTTCACGGGGCGGCTTCTCAACGACACGACAGCACTCAAGTTGCACTTGATCGATCGCACGCAGACCAACGTGACGACCATCTTTCTCCAGACGATGTTGCTGACGCGACCGGCCAAGTGCATGACGCTCGGCGGCGGCCTCGTTAACGTTGTGACATCACCGATCCACAGCAAGGCGGGGCCGGCGACGTATTACCACCTCCTCGGTATTGAGTTTCCGTTCGTCATGGCGCCGTTCGAGCGTATTGCGCTGCAAAACCCAAAGGAGACACAATGGCGCGCGACAGTGCTTAGCTCGGGCGAGCGCGTCATCTTGTCGGGCACGGACGGGGTCTACCGCGCGTCACCCGCGCTCCAGGGCAACTATGACTACTACCATTGGACGCTCCCAGACGACCCGAAGCGCTTCATGGAAGAAATCGCCTACATCGCAGAGCCGTACTCGGTCGACAGCTACGCGTGGGTGCGCTGCCTCCTCGGGTTGGGAGTCGCCTTCAACCTCTGCGCCAGCTGCGTCGTCGCGCTGCTCGTCGTCGTGCATTCGTGGCTTGCGCGGCGCGAGGTGTGGATACCGGATCTATACCCCAGCATCCAGCGGCGCGTCCAGCTGCGGTCGCTCCTGCTCGTGGGTGCTACGATCTCGACCAACTACTGGCACATCTTTGAGTACTGTCTCCAGAACGGCAACGCGCGCGAAGGCATCAACCAAGGCTTTGTGCTGCACGACATGGTGCGCGCGGACGGTCTCACGTACCTCCTCGCGCTCGCGCTAACCCTCTCGGATCTCCTCCGGACACGCCTTTGCCTCGACGTCGTCGTCCTGCTGTACGTGGCCTGCTTGCACCAGCGGCTAACGCTGATAAACGCACTGCAGTGGCGCATGGACGAGACGAGAGCCTTCCTGGCCGCCAACTACGTCGACTGCATTGTGTCAGAACCTGGTGCGGCCATGACACAGTGGATGTACCACCGCAATACCGAGACGCCGAGCTTCCTCCTCGCGACCGAGCTCTCGTGGTTCGTCGTCGCCCTCGGCCTCACGCTACTCTACGGCGTCAGTGCCAAGGCGCTCAATCTGCCGTGTCGCCGGCGATCTTGGCGGCGACAGCCCGTGCGCATAGCCGTTGGAATCGCCAGGAGCGAAGAGCGCTCGCCACGGGTCGCTCACCAGCGTTGGTCGCGTCAGTCGTCGCTCTACTCATTCTCTAGCGACGCCGACAAGAGCGATGGGAGCTCCGTGTTCGAGCGCAGTGCGATGCAAGCGCTGGCCCGGACGTACGGTCTTGTTGCACCCCTCGATGAGTACGAGCTCTGCAGCGACAGTCGCAAAGTGACCTCGTCCTCGATCTGGCTTCTCGGCTACGTCATCCTCAAGGACGAATTTGTCGTTGAACTCCGCGACTATGTTCGGATCTGGGCCAACCTTCTTTTGTCCCAGCGCGTCTTCCGCGTCTACTGCTTTCGGATTCAAGATCATGACATGACAAGTATTCACAAGGAGCGCCTCCCGATGCAAGGCCTCGTCGCGCGCGATCTGATTCACCACATTTCCCTACGCCCCTTGCGCTAATCCCAAAATCGCAATGTCAACCTGCAAAAATGAACATTCGATCGAAAGAGACGGACAAAATTGTCGGTGATTCCCACGGCCGTGCGTCACCATTCGACGCCAATTCTGCGAACATTTCGCGCTAAAATAGCCAATCGTGCTAATATTTATCAGCGAAACGGGTTTCAGGATGCAGCGGCGATGCGTAGCGGCGTACGTACATTGTCGCCGCCTCCTCTGTTGCGCGGCCGCCTTCTTCGTCCTGTACGTTGAGGTCACGGGCTCCATGGCGACGCGGCAGGTGCTACTCGGTGCCGGCATGGACTTGATGCCGAGCCTCAACTACGAGAGCCCGCTTATCTTTCCCTTTCTCTCGGCCTTCCTCGCCAACCAAACAAATTGGCAGCCGTCCCAGACGCCCGGTCTCTCGTTCGTCTACCTCGATAGCACCGTGGACAACAGCGTCGTCTTGAACAACAGCGGCTGCCTCGCGCCAACGCCCGACGACGCGATGCTTGACCCGCCCTTTCTCACATTGCTCTTGCACAACCTGCTCGACAACCAGCGCGGATGGCACGCCATTAACCTTTCGCAGTACACGGTCCTCATCGACTGCACCTTTGACGGTCGGCGCGTCCACGACATCACGGCGCTCAAGGTCCACCTCTTGGACCCGGGGGGTGTCAACGTGACCACGATCGCGCTGCAGACCATGACGATCGATGGGCCGCAAAAGCATGTTGTGAGCGCGTGCGGTGCCGCGTCCATAGCGACAGCACCGCTGCGTGCGCTCGTGCAAGCCCCGACCTTGCCCCGCGCCACGTACCACCTCCTCATCGGGATCGATTTCCCCTACCTTTTGGCGCCCTTTCAGCTGTTTACGGTGCGGGATCCGACGCCGTCCAACGGGCGCTGGACCGGCACGCTGTCGCCCACGCACGAAGAAGTTTTGGTCTACGGGTCCGTGGGCCTCTACCGAGGGGCGATGAACTCCCAAGGCAACTACGGCATGTACATCTGGGCAATGGACAACGACCCGAGAGCGTCTCTGTCTACGATTGCGTACTTCATTTCGCCCTTTTGCGTCGACAGCTACGCGTGGGTGCGCTGCCTCCTTGGCATGGGCGTCTCGCTCAACCTCTTTGTCAACATGTTTGTGTCGGTCGTGATCGTCTGCAACCGGTGGCGCTTCAGCCAAGTGCTCTGGATCCCCGATCTGTACCCGAGTATCCAGCGACGCATCCAGCTGCGCGCCATCTTGCTCCTCGGCGTCACAATTTCCAATGATTTTTGGCACATTTTTGAGTTTTGCCTCCAGCGCGGCAACGCCCGGCTCGGCTTGAATTACGGCTTTGTGCTCGACGCGATGGTCCGCTCGGACGGCCTCACGTACGTGCTCTCGTTTGCGCTGACGCTTTGCGATCTGCTGCACACGCGTGTCTGCCTCGACGTCCTGGTCGTTATCTTTGCGAGCTGCTGGACCTTCCAAAGCGAGCTGCTTCATCTTTGCAAATGGAAGCTCACCGAGACGGACGAATTTATCCTCTCCAACTACGTTAGGGACATTGTACCGAACCCGAATGGGGTTATGGCCCTCTGGGCAGCCCATGAAAATGCGCGATCGCCGCTCTGCCTCTTTGTGACCGAGCTAACTTGGTTTTACATTGCACTGCTCCTCACCTCTATCTACGCAATCGTTGCGAAGCGCTTGGCGCCAGCGCGGGAGACGCCCCAGCGAGTCCAGGTCGTCCCATATCTCTCACGCGAGCACATACCGCAGCGCCTCCGGTCCGATATATTCCAACTGGAGACGCATCTCGTTGGCAAATTGCAAGGGATCGTGGCGCCAACCCTAACCACATATGTCGCCACGAGGGCAGAAGCGAGTGCAGTGCTGCCGGCCTCCAGCATCTGGCTCCTCGGGTACCTCGTTGTCCGCGACACGTTTGTCATCGAGATCGCCGACTACCCTTGGTTATGTATCAACTTGATACTTCGCCGGCGGTATTTCTGCGTCTATGGCTTTTGCGTCATTGACGGCGCGTACACGAATTCGGATAAGACACTTCTCAACCTCGACGATCTCCGACTGTGGGACGTCGTGTGGCGGCTCTCGCTTCAGCCGCTTGCGCTCCGCCCGTAGTCCCAAGTACTTGGAGAATTTGGCAGTTGGCTATTGAGGCTAATTTATGCATCGAGCTGAGTGCTGTCTCGCTAGTGTTTCAGCACATCCCGCCTGAGACTGCGGGTCACCTCTTGGTCCTTTGGCGACCGTTGGCTGAGTTTCGATTCGAACAAAACGAATCGACAAATTTGGTGTTGCCATTTTGGAATTTCCATGCTCACCATCTACTCGAACGAGACGCATCGCGCAAGCCGCGGCGAGGCCGTGCCCCACGAGAGCCTCCAGATCGACAACTGGGTCTACGAGATCAAGACGGCCTGCGCCGGCTTTGGCACGGACGAGGACAAGCTCAGCAACGCCCTCGCCACCAAGACTGCGAGCGAGCGCTACCTTATTTCCGCCCGGTACCCCGAGCTCCAACGCGTCTCGCTCCTCTCGGAAATGAAGAGCGAGGTCTCGGGCAGCTATGGCAAGCTGCTCCAGCTCCTCGCGCAGCCGCTCGAGGAGGCCGAGGCGCTCATCATTCGCGACGCGACCAAAGGCGCCGGCACGAACGAGAAGCTCGTCTACCCAGTCCTCGGTGGGCGCACGGCCGACGAGCTCCTCATCCTCAAGAAAGCCTACTTCAAGACGTTTGCGCAGGACATGGCGGTCGTCCTCGCCGACGACCTCGGCGGCGACCTCAAGGTGTTTGTCCAAGCCATTCTCAACATTAACCCGCCCGCGTACAACCCCGAGATCCACACGCCGGCCAAGGCGGCCGAGGTGGCCGAGGTCATCTACAAGGCCGGCGAGGGCAAGTGGGGCACGGACGAGTCGGCGTTCTGCAACGCGCTCGTCGCGATTCCACCGGCCTTTCTCTCGTCTGTGAACGCGGCTTACATTGCCAAGCACGGCAACAGCCTCGAGCGCGCCATTGAGAAGGAGTTTGGCGGCAAAGCCGAAGACGCGCTCCTCTACCACGTCGGTATGATCCTTCACCCGATCGAGACGATCGCGGGCCAGTTTGAAAAGACGATGAAGGGCATCGGCACCGACGAGTACAACCTCTCGGCCGCGATTGTCCGCTACCAGCACCTCCTCCCGCAGGTCAAGCAAGCGTACAAGGACAAGTACGACACGCCGCTTCGCGACCGCATCTACGGCGAGACGTCCGGCAACTACCGCAAGGTGCTCCTCGCGATCGTCGAGCAGGCGTCCTAAGTGCCTCAATGCGAGCTTATGCATACACCCGAACTCTGGTTGAAGGTTAGAATCACTTCTTGGTCTTGACCGTGAGGTCGGTCTGGTCGACGTGGTGCAGGCGAAGGACGTTGCGCGCCTGGTGGTTGTACCCTTCGGCGCCCTTGTACCAGTCGTACGACGTCGCGTACGCAAAGATGTCGCCCTGGGCGTTGAACTTGCCGACGGAAATGCCTTGGTAGTTGGGACTACAAGCCGCATAAGCTCTTATCGCATTCCAAGCCGCGTACATTTTCGGGAAATTGCGCAGCATCTTGCGCATGTCCTTGTCCCAGAACGTGTACGAGCCGTCGGTCCCCGTCGTTGCCATCTTGCCGCTGAGCGTGTGGAACGACACACTGCTCACGGGGTTGACGGCGTTGTTGGCCGTGTCGCGGTGGGCCTTGAACGCAAAGTCGCGCCTACAAGCATAAGCATAGGTGAAGTGATTGCACTTGGCCACGGTTGGGCGTACTCTTGCTTTTGCTTCTCGTCGACGTGCTGGATCGCGACGCGGCCTTCGATGGACCCGATCGCAAAGCCGGACGCGTCCGGGAACGCAGCAATGCAGCGCGTCTGCAGCTTCAAGTTGGACTTGATCGACTAGACAGATGACCATGAGCGACTACATGCAACGTCCACTGCACGCACGGCGAAGATCTGCGACGGCTTGGTCAAGTCAAAACAGTGGATCATCTTGTCGGCAGTCGCGACGACCATGAGCGGGTAGACCACGTCGAGCGCATACACGCGGTCGCTGAGCTGCACCGTGGCCTGTGCCTGCGGCGCACGCGTGTCCCAGTACTTGACGGTCTTGTCCCACGAGCCCGTGACGACGCAGTTGGCCGTAGGCACGAAGCGGATGCCACGGATCGGCTGGTCGTGCTGCGCGATCTGCTGGCCGGTCGCGGGCCCGTTGAGCTGCCACATAAGCGCCGTCTTGTCGCAGCTACCGGAAAACACCGTCGTGCCGTCCTAGAGCGCGCTTAGCCGCCATGGCATGGTATGGCCTACGTACCGCGCTAAAGGCTGTGCAGAGCACGGGCGCCTTGTGCTGGATCTGGGCGCGAGCGACGGCTTGGAACTGCGTCTGCTGGTGGTTGACCTCCCAGCAGCGCACGTAGTTGTCCCAGGAGCCGGCGACAAGGACGTTGGCCGTCGGGCTCCAGCTCAGGTCCTGGATGCTGTCGGGGACATCGGGCGGGACGTCGTAGTCGGACGCCGCCGGGCTCGCGCTCGTCGCCGTCGCCGCCACGCCGAATCCACCGAATGACATCGCTTCCTGTTTGTATTATCTGGTGGGGAAAACGTCCCGACCAATTGGCTAAAATTCGAGTTTGGAGCATGGCCAATCAACGCGCGGCACGGTCAGGAGGCTTAAAACACGCATCTTTAGAGGCCACCAGCATCGAGCGAGAAGCGCAGTCAAGAGTCCACTGTGGCAACGCGATCGCGTGCAGTGGACTGAGATCGTTTACAGCGTGTAGAGACTCTCTATCACGCAAAGAAACAAACAAAGCGCGCGCGACGGTTGGTCGAAACGGACACGATGCAGCCGAGTCGGGCTAGCCGCACTCAACATTTCCCGGCGATCGAGCCAACATTCGCGCGGCTCGCTCCAGCACGCTAGTCTCCTAGTTGACTGGTAAACTCGGTCAAAAGATCTATCGCACTGGGGATAAAAGCTGATCGAGGTTCAGGGTGACATTAGGGGGTGACCGCCTTTAAGGCTTCGGGATCATGCAAGGTTGAAGCTGAGGTGCGGCGGCATCTCTAGTGAATAGACGAAATGGTTGGGAGGAAATTAGATTCTCTAGCCCATGGGTGGGACTCTGAGTAGCAGTAGGTGCAGCAGCGTTGGAACCGTGCTAGAAACCTTGGCAGGCCACAGAAGCGCGCCAAACCTCCCGCTCCGCGGGTTATCCTGGTGTAAGACGTCCCATATGAATAAAATATGCAATTCAGAACTTGATTTTACAATTTCCATACAAAGCATCATATGCATAATGCATGTAAAGTACATATTGAGTCTGTGACTGAGCGGGAAGATCGCCATTGCATCAACCGACCCGATTACCAATCTTGGTGGCTTCAACGAGTCGCCGCGATACCGTCGTCGCTTTGTATGAGCGATCGCTTCCGGGTCTTTGACGCTGCTGTGCTCACAAAACAAGTGCCTCCATGGCCTCCTACGCCCTTCACGTCGAGACGCCGCTCGCATCGGTGCAGCCCGTCACCCTCTCGTGGACGCACCTTGAGCTTCAAGTAGCAACCAAGGTCGAGCCAAAATTGATCTTGCACAAGCAGTCGGGCGTCGCCAAGCCTGGAGAACTCCTCGTGATCATGGGTCCGTCGGGTGCCGGGAAGAGCTCGCTTCTGGACGTCCTCGCGGGCCGCCAGCCGCGCTACACGGGCGACATCCGCGTCAACGGCCAGCCCTACACCAAAGCGTCCATACGCCAACACACGTCGTACATTATGCAAACCGACGCCTTCTACCCGTCGCTCACGGTTCTGGAGCACCTTCTCTTCCAAGCGCAGCTGCGCACGCGCTGGTCGCCGGACGTGCGCCACGCCCGCGTGCTCTCGGTCCTCGATGCCATGGGCCTCTCGAAATGCCGGGACACGCAGATTGGCGACGACCACCGCATTCGCGGGATCTCGGGCGGCGAGCGTAAGCGCCTGAGCATTGCGTCCGAGCTACTCACAAACCCGTCGCTGCTCTTTGTCGACGAGCCCACGTCGGGTCTCGACAGCTTCATGGCCGAGTCGGTCGTGGCGCAACTCCAAGCCCTTGCCCGAGCGGGCCGCACGGTTGTCGCGACCATCCACCAGCCATCGGCCGAGGTCTTTGCAGCCTTTGACACGCTCTACCTGTTATCCAACGGATCACCCGTCTACGTGGGGCCTGCGGCGTCGGCCAAGGAGTATTTTGCGTCCGTCGGGCACGTCTGCCCCATGTATGTCAACCCAACCGACTACTTTATGCGCGAACTCATGCTCGCCGAGCGGGCGCCGACCAACAACCTCGTGGCTGTGTGGCGTAGTGCCACGTATGTCTCGGACGCCAGCGACGCGGCGCCACTGACAGAGCGAGAAGGCGTTGCTTTGCCACGCCTTTTCGCCGTGCTCTGTCGACGCAACGTCCTTCGCATCCTTCGCGACAAGATGGCGTTCCGGGCCAAGGTGGCTCAGAACTTGTTTGTGTCTATGGTCGTGGGCTTGATCTACTGGCAGCTGCCACTGACGCAGCTCGGAATTCAGTCGTTCACGGGCGTCCTCTTCTTCATCGTGATCCACCAGTTCTTTGGCATGGCCGCGCCCGAGTTTGCCGCCGTCGCGCTCGAGCTGCCCATCATGGTGCGCGAGTTTCGAAGTGGTTTGTACCCGTCGTACGTTTGGTATTGCGCCAAGAATGCCAGTGAGCTCGGCCTCCAAGTCCTCTTCCCACTTGTGTTTTTGCTGCCCGCGTATTTCATGGTCGGGTTCCCGCTCTCGCTCGTCGTCTGGAGCTCGTTCTACCTCTTTTTGGCGCTGCTCGGGTCGGCGGCCACGGGCCTCGGCTACATGGTGTCCTGCGTCGTCCAGCGGCCCGAAATTGCGCCGGTCGTTGGCATCATGGTGCTCCTCCCGTTCCTCATCTTTGGCGGCCTCTTCCTCAACGCGGCCATGACGCCTGTCTACTTCAAGTGGCTCGAGGTCATTTCGCCCATGAAGTACGCGTTCCGAGGCCTTAGCCGCGCCTTCTGGTCCCATATCGCGTTTATTCCATGCGAGACCAGCTGCATTGCTCGAGACGGCGCCACCGTCTTGGCCAACATGAGCTTGGACGGCGGGTCGTTGTACGGCGATGCGCTCCTCCTCGTCGCTATCAACGTGCTCTTCCGTGTCCTCGGCGGGCTCTTCCTTGCACTGCGACTTGGAGGCCAGCAATAATCACCATTATTGTTATCTTAATAAGATGAAATCCATGTACATGCTGACTACGTGAGCACCTTGACCTTCTTGCCATTCACAAAATGGACCTCAACCTCGCCCGTCGCCTTTTCTAGCACTCGGTCGACGAGGCGGTTGGCCATGCTCTTCATCTGATCAATCTCTCGGCCGTCGTGGTCGTGCAGATGGTTGCAGCCTCCTTGAAGGTACGGGCACTCGGAGCCATACTTACAGTACGTCGTCTTCCATAGACCTCGCATCATGATCGCCCGCGTCACACCGACGAGGATTCTATCCTCGTCCGTGTGCCAGTAGTTGCAGCCTGGGATTTTGCAAAACGCAGCACGTGTACATTGCTGGTAGAAGCGAGGTCGCAGCTGCGCCCGGTACCGGTCTTGCAGCTCCAGAAGCACCATCTTTACAAGATCCTGGAGCGGCTTATCCATCGACGCCATTTGCAAAGGCGGCGGCGCTTGATACGGCACAGGCGCCACATAGCTACTCGACACCCGAGACGGCTCTGCACGCGTCGCTACGGCAGTCCGCGCCGAGTCGCCATCGTCGTACAACGTCGTCCGCACACCCAGAGGCTTGGGATCGACCCGCGTTGGCGACGGCGACGGCTCGCGCTCGGGCGACGCAAGTGGTGTCGCCCGAGGCGCGTGGTGCCGGACGGGCGCACGCGTCGTCTCGCTCTTGCCGTCGAGGCGGCCAAGGGCCCCGTGCAGCCACTCAAAGCACGTAACAATGCTCTTCATCTGGACACCTGCGATCGTGATCCACTCGGCCTTGATGCTTTCGAGAAGCGGCGCGTGGTCGGGCAGATCGGCGCTCGGCCTGCCATGCGTGTCCATGTTCTTGAAGACCTGGAAGCCCGTCATGCCCCAGCGCAGTGTGCGGAGGTACGTGCTCCCAGCCTTGGCGTCGATCGAGCTCAAGTGACTGCCGAGTCGGTCGAGGTGTCTTAAGGCTGCGTCAAACGACGCGACGCCGCCGCCGACCGCGTCGTTGACGACGATGTGCACGATGGTCTCCATGCTCTTGCGGTAGACGCCAAAGCCGCCCCACGCGTTGTCCCAGAGGAGGTCGCGGAAGCCGCGCAACTCTCTACGGAAGTCCTGGCGCGGCCCGCGCGAGAGGAAGTCGCCGTCGGCGCACAGGTCGAGAAAGTCCAGGTGGTCCATCGTCTTCGTCGTCGTGGGTTTCGCAAATACTGGCTGGCTTTGTGGCTATATATTTCCGGCCAATGGCATCGCGAGAATGAAAATGGAGCGCTCTGAGTGGTCAAAATCGATCGGCCTGTCAGCACCAAGTGCAACGTGCGACGAAGGATCGAGGAGCTTGGTGCTTAGTTAGTCGCGTCGAATGCCCTACTACGACTATGACTACGGATATACTTTTGCGCTGTCCAAAGCCTCGAGGACGAGGGTGTCATCAAGGCCGTGCGCTCCTCCACCCAATGAACAACATGGTCAGGCCAAGAGCGGCCGGTCGTCGTGCCACGTCACGCGTACGGTCGACGGTCAATGCTTGATGCATCAGCTATGGCGTTTGAGCGCAATTCTTCAGCTTCCAAGAGAGATCCTATTATACTAGTGCTCTTCGGGCTCCTGGAGCTATCACTACAGCAGCGAACGATGACGACGCTTGCGCCGGTCGAACGTTCCTTGGCCGCCACCGTTGACGAGTTGCTCGTCGAAGTCGACGTTGCACGCAGTCTCCGCCCTCGGCAGCTGCGCGACCTACGTGCACATACCACTGTGCTGTACTTGGCGAGCCGCTCGAGCAGAGTTCGCACGGCCTGCCTCTTGGACCACTCGGACGATGTTCTTGGCGCCAGCTGCCAGCGCCGAACGCGACGCGAACCTTCCACGACCGAACGATCCAGCGCTGCAATGCAGACTGTACGTTCTGGCGGCCGTGCCAAGGCCACTGCAACCCCTCCCCAGCCTCAACCGCGACGCCTCCAAAGGCTGTGGGGATGACGCCGGTCTCTGGCGACCACGATCAACTCAAACGCGCAGATCAAGGCGCGTGCAACGCAGTGGCACGATGGGCAGGATCGTCAGCGCCGGCGGCGCGTCACGACCTCCAGTCTCGCTCCTACGCCCAGCTGTTTCCTTGGCACCGTACGTGGCGTTCCGAGCAAACACTGTGAGTTCATTTCCCAATTTGCCACCACGTCCCGACCACCTATGAACATCTTTAAGCTCTGCTGGCGCCGCATGCTCGGCAATCCCGACGAGTTTGTTGCCAAGAGCGCGCTCACGCCGCTCACGCAGACGGCCCTGCGCCGCGGCCACCTCGCGCGCAAGTCGTCGCTCGAGCTCTCGGACGTCGAGTTCTGGCGCATCATTGGCCTCACGGGCGCACCGCCATCGCCGCCGACCCTCTCGACCAATGCGCCGCGCCGGTCGAGCGTCGTCGACTTCGTGTACCAAACGTCCGTCGTGCTCGCGTTCCAGGACCTCCCCGCGATCTTCAAGCCCCGGACCCAGGTCACGCTGCCCAAGGCCATTCCGTCGCGCGACCAAGTCGACCCGACGCGCCCCGTCACGGCGACAGCCTAAGCGCCGAGACGCAGCGACTGCAGCTGCCTCCCGTATCATTTATTAGATATGTATTAGACCAGCAGACGCCGGCCATTGGAAGCCACGCGTCGAGATATGATAGCCGCCCGAGCGCTATACCCTTATTAACAAAGAAACCAACTTCTCTGGATACAAATTTGCAGGCAAGAAGACGCGAGGTGCTCGAATGACACACGAGTGTATGAGCAGTAGATGCTTACTACGCCGTGACCGCCGACTGGAGCTGCAACAGGATCTGGCGCTGCTCATCGATCGAGAGACGGAGCACGCTCGTCACGATCGCTTCGACGTTGGTGTGGTACGACCTATGGAAATCAGATCTGAGAGTGCTTTCAGACGCGCACGCACCAGATGAACGTCGAGCAGTAGACCGCGGTGAAGAGCGCCGTGATGAACTGGCAGTCCATGCGGTCCATGACGCCACCGTGGCCGGGCAAGAGCGAGTCAAAGTCCTAGGTCAAGCGTTTAACGCGAGCGGTTCGCGGTAGCGTCGCATACCTTGAGCTTGTACGCACGCTTGATGGCCGACGCGTAAAACCCACCAAAGGGCGAAATCACCGAGGTAAAACTCGCAAAGACGATCGCGTGCAGCTATGATACTCTGTCAGCGTCTGCCAGCAGCGTCGATGTACAAGTACCTGAACAGGGAAGAGCTGGACGTGGGTCCAGGTCGGGACGTACGCCGTGACAAAGGCAGGGACCGCGTACGCGGTCTTGACAAACACGGGGTGGACGTTGCACGTGAGCGGCTCGGGGAAGAACTGCGGGAGCGACTCGAGCGGGCACGTCATCCACGGCAAGGTCGCAAGCCACGAGGCCGAGAAGAAGGCAAAGACGAGCGTGCAGAAGAAGGCGCCGATGAAGCCCTCCCACGTCTTGTTGGGCGAGAGCTTCAAAAACTGGGTCTTGACAAACTTTTTCCCAAAGAGCTTGCCGCAGAAGTACGCAAAGCAGTCGTTGCACACGACGAGGGCGGACGGGAAGAAGAACCAGAAGAGGCCCTGGAAGATGTTGTCGAGCACGTAGCGCATCTGGAAGACAATGAGGCACAGCGTCACGATCGTCCACGTGAGCTGGCCCATTTGGTACTTGTAGTAGCCCTTCTTGAGGCTCAGCACCGAGAAGACAAAGAGGAGCGCGTAGAGCGAGAACGAGACCCACGAGTGGTAGTGCGAGTACCACTTGATCCAGCCGTACTCCGAGTCGGCGCGCAAGAACGCTTGCGACGAGTCGCCGTAGTTGTAGACCATCGCGACGCCAAACCAGCACCACTGCATTTATACGCATCAGCAACACCTCTTCCCGTCGCACAAGAGTACCTGAATCGTGCGGAACCACGGCAGGTTCTTCTCGGCGTTGACGCGGAACCGGACGTTGACGAGCTCCCGGAAGATCATGGTCTATTAGCGCAAGGTGGAGCCTCGGCGTGCATGCTCGCCATGTACCTGCAGCAGTAGCACGAGCAGCGAGACGTAGAGGTGGCCTACACAGCGCCATGAGCCATTGCGGCGCCAGGTTGACGATGCGACTACCGCCGTAGATGATGAGCGAGTAGACGCCGATGAGCGAGAAGCCCGTGATGCAGCGCTTGATGAACGACGCCTTCTTCTTCTCGGCCTCGTCGACCTCGTTGACCTCTTCCTTGGCGGGCTTGGCGCGGCCGGCGCGGGGCGGCGACGTCTCGGGCGACGCGGCTCGGCGGTGGTGGAGCGTCGTCGTCATGAGTTTGCGGAAATGATGCTGCCTTCCGTAAACACGGGGAAATAGACATACGGATGGGAAAGGGCGGATAACCGGTTACGCGAACCGAACCGAGCGCGCGAAGATTCGAGAGCCGCCCGATGCCGGCGCCGTCATCCCTGCAGCACTGGCAGTTGATCATTACTCGAGCTAAGCTAGCCGGTTGGCGCTGGTTGCTGTGCGCTAATCGCACCGCTAGCGCGCCAGCGAGCGCCGTATCTTGAACTGTCGCGTTGACGATGATGGCAGCCTGTCCGTGACGTCGACATAGCTACTACACGGTACTCACTTGATCACAAAGTACGTGGACTCTACGCTCGTCTTGGTGCACCTTGCTGTACCTTGCTATGTGTCGTTGATCCCGGTGACGCCGCGTCTTTGCCGCCAGCGTCCTTCCTTCTTTGGTGGGCTAAGAGCTTAGAGCGTAGAGCTTAGGCTAGGCGCTAGCTTGGTGGCCCCTAGGCGCAGCGCCCTTTCCAGAGATAACGACATCTAGTACGTGACGTGTTGTTCTTGCTCGTCGCACATTGCATGGCGACGCTTGGCACAGCATCGCAACCGTGCGCCGGGAATGGAGATTACCCACTGGGTTACCGCGTTAAAGAGCTTTAACCTTGGTTTAACCCGCAGATTACGCGGCTCTGATAAGTTCGCCGCACTTTCGCGCAACGGCGTTTCGATCGAAAAAGTTCATTTCACGCTGGCGACCGCTGATTGGCCTGATTTCCTTCCGCGTCTGCGATTGGTGCAAAAGGATGGAGAATCCAAATGTAGGTCGTCTTTTTGACCAATCCAGTGGTCCCAAGTCGAAACTGGCCTCTTTCCCAGGCGTCCCATTTGCCATTTTCAATGCTGGACACGATGAACTCGCTCGACATGTTCCTGACGCTGCCGGATGAGGAAGACGTCGCCGCCTTCCTCGAAGCGCCCATGGACATGGCCCTCTTCGACTCGATGATGGAGGTAGAGGAGGCCTCGGATGCCACCTCGACCGTCTGCTCGTCGCCGTCCAGCTACTGCTCAGACGACTCGCGCTCGTCGGCGTCGTCGTCGCCCGTCAACCACGCCAAGGTCGGCGGCGGCGGCTATGGCATGTACCCATGGGCCGCGACGCCACTCGCTACGGCGATGCCCATCGTCACGGACGTCAACTTGATCCCTTACGCGCTGCCGATGCAGGCCATGATGCCACCGATGGTGCAGAAGCGCCCGCTCGACGCTGACCCACTCGAGCCCACGACAAAGCGCTCGAAGCACGAGATCCGCCTCATGAAGAACCGCGAGAGCGCCAACAAGTCGCGCCTGCGCCGGAAGAACCAGATCCACGACCTCGCGAGCGACGTCCAGGGGCTTACGGACGAGCGCAACGCGCTCAAGACTGAGGTCGCGGCCCTCCGCGCCGAGAACCAGTCGCTCCGCGATCAGAACCAGTTTCTTCGCGGCCTCGTGTCCAGCGGTACCAACACGAACGTGCAGGCGGCGGTCACGTCCCTCGAAGAGGCGACGCCGGTCGTCCCGCAGCAGCCCAACTCGAAGAAGCTGGCTGCGCCCGTCGCGGGCTTTGTCCTCTGCGCATTTGTCTTTGGGATGACGCTCTTCTCGGACCCGTACGGCGATTCGACGGTCGCGGCGCAGCGTCGGTCGATGCGTGTGGTGCACGGCAGCGCGGGGCCCAAGACGACGAATGGCTTCATGATGGCGTCGCCGATCGGCCTGCTGCCGTTTGTCACCGAGTACGTCTACTCCAACATGGGCCTCATCCAGAGCATCCTCATCAACGTCATCTCGGCGCTGGTTGTCGCCGCCATTTACGTCTACCTCGTCGCGCCCAAGACCAAGCCGACTGAGTCGTCGCCACTCCACGTCAAGGTCAACGTCGACTCGAAGCTCAAGCGCCTCTGTTCCCGAGCGACGCGTCTCGTCGTGCGGGGCCGCAACGCGCTCAACCTCTCCAAGCTCAAATGAGCTACATTCATGTAAACTCGTAATTTATCCTGTGCACTCTATCTGCCCGGTAACCTCGCAAGCCGCTTCCATGCGACTGCGAGCGCATCCCTTGACGGTGTCAACGTGCACTACTCGGCTACGTCATACAAGGAAGACATGCGTCGCATTCAATGTGCATGTTTCATGAAGATGATTAACCTCCGAAACTAGAAGTTAGAGCATCGCTTCGTTCTTCATCTCCTCTTCGTTGTCGTCGACCTGGAGCATGCGAGCGGCCGTCGGTTGCACGGCCGGCGTGATGTGCGTGGTTGCCGAGACTAGCGTCGGTGGCGAAGGGCCGTCGGGCGAGACGTGGAGCATGTTGCCCATCGGGCGAACCGGGCTCTCGGCGGTGGGCTGCGTCGCGCTCATCGTGGAACTGGCATACGAAGACGAGCTGGAGCTCGACTGCGGCGTCGGGATCCAGTTGTCGACGGCAATCGTGGCAGGCACGGCAACCGGGCTGCGGAACGACTGCAAGGCGCTGTTCCAGACCAAGGTTTTCGAGCAAACGGGCGCCGGGGACGGGTTGCGTGACTCGGGCGCCGGGGACGGGTTGCGCGACTCGGAGTCACGAGCAGACGCACCAGAAGAGGAAGACGACGCGCCAGAGGACGACGAGCTCGACGACAACTGGCCCGACGACAACAAACCAGAAGAGGTCGAGCTCGTCGACGATGCGCCCGACGACGACGACGGGCGTGAAGACGTCGGCGTCTTGGGGTGCAGTGGCGGCGCACCGCCGAGCGCCTTGAGCTGGCCGCGGACCTGCTCCATGTCGTCCGAGAGCGTCTTGAACTGCTTAGAAAGCACCTCGTGTGTGGCCGCAAGTGTCGTCACCTGGCTGCGAAGCTGCTCGTTGTCGGCCACAAGCGCCTTCAGTTGGCCATCGTCCGGAACCGGCTTGGTCTGGTCGCGCAGCTCCTTGTTGTCACTGCGCAGCTCCTTGTTATCGTTGCGCAGCTCCTTGTTGTCGTTGCGCAGCTCCTTGGTCTCGGCCAAAAGGTCTTGGAGCTGCTGCGACATGATCTTGACCAGCTCGTCGTTGGTCTTGGCCGCCGTGTCGTCGTCTGTAAGCTTGCGCTTCTTGGAGGCCGACTCGATCTTGGTCGCGTGGCCGTCACCCTGGACAACGACCGTGCCTTCGCCGCCGACGGGCTTGAGCGCGTCTTCAAAGTCCCGGGCGAAGGGCGAACAGACGATGCCCTTGCCGACGTGCGCCCCAGTCCGCACGAACGTGCAGGCCTTGAAGCCCGCGGGGAGCGCCGCGAGGATCGTCGCCATGGTCGTCGCGATGGCCGTCGCCGTCGCAGCGTCGTCTCGAAGCGCGTCAAGCTTGGTGGCAAACATCCGCCCGTCAAAAATGAGACTCGGGATGTCGACGTCCACGCCCGTCGCATTGAGCGACGCCCCCGAAACCAGCACGACGCCCGCGAGATCGACCGTCTTGAGCACGTCGTCGATGCGCATCGAGACGTTGAAGAGAGTGAACGATTTCGCCGTCGGCGTGTAGACCGCGAAGCGCCACACGCTGCCGTGCGCCCGGCAGACGAGGTGGGTGAAATGGCCGACGACCTCGAACGTCCACGACGTGTCCCGCGAGCCAGAGGGCACGCCCGGCGCCGTGTCGTTGCCATGCAGCGTCAAGTAGAGCAAGAGCAAGAGCAAATCAAACGCGGGTGCTTCGCCGACGGTGGCGCCGGGCGCGTACATAGTCCAGAAGCGGAGCACGTTGGACTCCATGATCTTGTGGAAGCCGTTGTCGTGCTTGCGGACGAGCGTCGAGAGCATGAGGAAGGGTTGGTGGTGGCAAAATTGAAAATGAGCTCTGGGCCCGAGCACCTTGAAGTGTTCAAGCTCACACCGTGGCAACAGATGGACCTTCAGGTGCATACGCTACGTAAGTAAGTGTTCTTTGTGCAAGAAGGGAATTTCCGCAGTAATCTTGAAGGCTCAAGCTCACAACGTGACCTTTGAGGTGCATCCGCTACGAAAAGTACTTTGCTCAAGAAGGGAATTTCCCACGTGTAGCTCTAATCTTGAAGGCTCAAGCTCACAACGTGGCAACAGATGGACCTTCGGGTGCATAAGCCACATAAGTAAGTGTTCTTTGTGCAAGAAGGGAATTTACCACGCACGGAGTTGACCCGAGGGAAAAATTGATTCCCGTAGACGACCCAACGTTCGTAGATAAGTGCATGTGTGTTGTCTGGTACATTGAGCGTGCTCTCAGTGCCAGCGAGTCGGGACTCCTGGCTGCTCTCCGCTTCCGCGAGAGTCGGGATTCCTGGTACTCCCACTCTCGCAGCGGGATACAAGCAACGCAAGACGTAGGAAATGCTGCAAAGTAGGAGTTGCATCATCGCATAAATGTTGAAGATCGGCGCTTAGACCAGGCTGTCTTGCTGTGCGCTGCTCTCTGCTCCACGGTCCTTGGATCTAGCAACTGCGTCGGATCATGCGGGCGCCACGTGGGGTGTTGGGTATCTGGTGCATGTGATTGGCTGCAATCCACCAATCCACATCCGCGCAGCACTCAAAGATACGGGCAGATGATATGTTGTATCACAAGTGCGTGCAACCGCTTTGGCCGGTTGAAAGCCCCTTCGCTCAGAGGGCCGACGCGTTGATGACACCACCGAGTCACACATTCGAAGAGTGCGCTGAACGCAGAGAGCTATTTGGCATAGCAGCGACCATGGATTCGTTACGCAGTGCTAGTAGCCTGGTGTCGTATGTCGCTCGAATGATGAGCGCGATGGGCACTCTTACCTCCCAGCTCAGCCGCGCACGCGACGCAAGTCCGTTTCCAGTCAGAAATGCAACACACCGCAAAGCCACTTCAGCCCAATGGCCCACCATCAACACTACCAACCTGGTGCACCGTCGACTTATACCTTTTGTATGTCGGTAATATAATACATTATGCGTCTCTCGTGGCTCGACACGGCGTCAGTTGACGATGGAAAAGGCGACATCGGAACCCATTCCT